AAGAATTTCTAAAAAATCTATTATTTTGTGAAACCACTTGAACATTCTTTGGAAACCCTAAGTAAACATCTATATCCTCAAAAATCCGCTAAGGTAGAGAAAACCAAAGCGAGCATGTTTTTCATATAAATTGCGGGGGCGCGAAGAAAAAGTTCGATCTGGACAGAATTTGGTGCCTGTGTCTCTGTGGACACTAAGGAATCGTAACTTAGTTTTTCACAGTTTGAGATTTAACAGCAAATTTGATTTCATATCATTCCGACCCTCAGAAGACACGTCGCACAAAAATTACTTCACTTTTAATATTCAGTGAACCCCTAGAGGCTTGTGATGTTTAAAAAAGCCCTTCCAAAAACTGCACTCCTATTGTAAAAATATTAGATTCGTTATTTTCATGTTGAAAAAACACCAGACGCAAAATGCCGTTGAGTTTGGTACCTCCATTTAGCGACACCTGTCAGTAGGAATTTTTTGAAAATACTGTAAAATCAGAACGACATAAGAAATTTCGTAAAGTCGTTACATCTTTCTGTTATAGTTGCTGAGGAGGAAGAAACCCAAATTTTGGGTCATTTTGGGCCCTCTGTTTGTTTGAGAAAAATTGTGGTTTTGTTATACAAAAGATTAATCAAAGAGCCCCTTTTTCTATTCATTGCTTTTATTTTTATCGCCATTTTCTAATTAATTAGCAACGATTAAAGGGGCAAGTAGATGGCACCTCCCAACGGTTTCCATTTAATTTCAAACTTATCAATGAATCAATTAATTTGAATCTTGCAATTTAATCAGCTAGAAGTGGTGTAGCATTAAAACAATAACGGCACTTGAGTCTTATGACAAATACAAAAAAGTATGAACAGTAAGTTAACACATACCTCAATTCTGAAAAGGAACTAGCAGGTTTGTGTTCAAAATTAAATTTCATTTGACTTTCACAAAGTCGCATGTTTCATTTGGAACAACAGTTCTTGACATATTAAATCGTTTGAGAAAAAATGATTAATAAAAGAACGAAAATTTACAAAGCAGAAAGTTGAACAGACATGTCGCCTCTAACCCCATTCGCCAATAAAGTTGTCTGTACAGGATTTTCGAAAAAAAAAACTAATATTAAAGAAACAACACGGGTACTTAACCTACACGAAGTTAATAGAAAAAAAACTTTCATTTCAAATGAGGGATGTAGAAGAATGGCGTGTCGTAGGTAATATTCGAGTTTGAAAATTATTACAGAAAAAAGAATGATGGTAACGTTAACAGAAATTTGTGAAACCGATTGTAATAGTAGATTGTGTATCAACATCGTCAAATTAAGGAATTTTTATAAATGCGAGACATTTTTTGGTTTTTGATATCGTTTCCTTAACAACCTGTTTGACATATTTTGATGAAGCAGCGTACTTTAAGTGGAGTGCAAAGGACGTTGCCATTGATGACGTACTTAATAATAAGAAACAATGAATTTTATATACTCAGTGACATGGAAATTGCAACACCAAGAAGGAGTTGGAATTTTTTGACCAAACTTGGCAGAAACGTGTAACTACTAAAAGGTAACAATTGATTAAAATTTCGTTCATATGGATCAAGTGGTAATGGCTTATTTGACAGTTCTTTCATTTCTTTCTATACTAATTTTATATGGTGTATGTTTTGCGAGATTTTGTTCAGTTCTTATTGTTTTCGCTTTTAATCGTTTCTTTTGAGGCTGTGATCATGCCTAGATACGCCAAAGTGGAAATTACCGCGAATTAAGAGGAGTTGACAGGTGTCGTATTGTTGGTTTGGGCGGAGGTGGTTTTTCGTTCACAAAAATTGCAAGTCACCTTAACCGAAGTCAATCCACCATGATTCGTTGCAATCGGGCATGGATTTGGGAAGGGGCAGGATCGTCGTAGAGAGGAAAGGGAGGGGGCAGGAAAGGGTGGGGGGCGAAAAAGAACAATTGAAGTGCGGGATCGCCATCTTTGACTTATGGCAACAAGAAACCGATTCTCTAGTACCAGGTCAATTGCCGATCAATTGTTAGCTAACGAAGGTCGTCCTGTAACACTTCGAACGGTTTACCGCAGAATCAGAGCTTACGACTTGCAATCCTATCGGCCACATCTTTTGTTACCATTAACAGCTCAACACCGCCAGCAGCGTTTGGAGTGGTGTAGGTTGCGACTGCACTGGAACCTAGAGTAGCATTGGGTGGTGTTCAGTGATGAATCCCGATTTTGTTTGGGTATGCATGATGGCCGTATGAAGGGCAGCCGAAGACGTGGGGAACGTCGCAATGTTGAATTTTCTGTTATGAGGCATGTGCACTAAGCTGTGGGGACTATGGTATGGAGTACTATAACTTATGGGAGTAGGGCTCGTTTATTATTCATTCGAGGTAATATGACCCCCCCAGCGATATGTGGATGACGTGATAGAACCCGATATTCTTCCATCTCTTCAGCAGTTGGAAGACCCACTTTTCCAGCAGGATAATGCCCCTCCCCACATTGAAAGACGTTCTATGGACTTATTTGCACATGATAATGTCAATTTCTTGCCATAGCCACCCAGATCTCCCAGTATATTGCCTATCGAGCAAGTTTGGGACATTATGAAGAAAAGACTGATGAACTTACCGCATCCTCCGCAGACGCTGCAAGCTCTACACAATGAATTAGAGGTTACTCACAGTTGCTTGGGACACAATACCTCAAGAGGAAATCGGCCGTCTGCTAAAATCGATGCTACGAAGCGTGAGGGAGTGCGTAACCAATAGGGAGGGACTACTATTATTATTAATAAAAATATGTTTATATTTCATCCTTTTTCTTTTAAATTTTAATCAATTGTTACCTTTTAGTAGCTAAACGTTTCTGCCAAGTTTGGTCAAAAAATTCCAACTCCTTCTTGGTGTTGCAATTTTCATGTCACTGAGTATAGATAACTTAAGAAACGAGTTTAAATGAGTCTTTAAAATGTCAGTGTTATAAAAAATGAATTAATTTATAACAGTAATTATTATTTATCACTTATAATTTATAACATAACACAAGCGTATCGAAGTTGGAACAGACTGAAACGTAACTCCCCGCTTATTGTCCTAGAATGTTCTAGAACGCTTCGATATGTTCCAGAATAAACACATCATGTTTTCCGGAAGGATTTCGTCACATCCGCATTCGTTCTTGATCGCCGATGACTAATCTTCCATGGGGCCTCGATATCTACCGTGATTTCTGGAATGTGCGCTGCAGTATATAGTAATTAGCCTCTCTTGATCTCGTGGCACAAATTTGAAAATTGTGTTTTCAAACTAAAAGTCCCTAACGTTTAAATTTCTTTGAAACAACTGTGCTCGATATTACTTTTTTGCTCTTCGTGCTCGTCCAAGATCTCCGAAACTTAATGTTTCAAAGTTTCGGCTCAAAATAGTTTATTGAAAACTTTGTTGTATGCCCTTAACACTCAACCCCAGATTTTTCAGGTAGAAAGGTTTTAAGTATATTAACGTTTGCTTTAGACACATTCTAAAAAGTTCATTTTTGGTATTAACGCACAAAAATCAAATATGTTTTCCTTATTCACCAACTTTTCCTTTAAGGTATCAACTTTTGAAACAGCACAAAGCTAAAGTTGATATACTTTGAAGGTAAGGTTAGCAAATTAAGGAGTGGGGTGGGTTACGTTTTGTGATCGTTACAGAGGGTTAAGATAGGGTAGATTAAGGGATCGTATTTGGTTTGGTTAGGCTCTATAAAATTAAAAAAAATTCTCGGATCGATGGGCCTTACAGAAACCAAACCTTTCTAATGATGTATCTCAGAGATCAGTGAGTTCATTGCATAAAATACAGAAACCATTTCAAATTGTATTCAAAGCTTATATACCTTAGTGGAAATCAAGCTTGTTCTGAAAGCCCCAAGCTGTATTTGAACTTTCTTAGCAGCGAACGGTAAAATTCATCATGTACACAATTTTTACGTTAGAAATTAATTAACAAAGAAAACAAATTTCACAATATTGCAATAAGATGTTTTAAAGTTACTTGCAAACTAAGTGAATTTAAGATTAGTTGTTCTTCTTATAACAAAGAAGTTCAGTAATTAAATTAAATGGTTTTCAGAAGTTTGCTAACGTTCAAATTCTTTTTTGCTCTTCGCATGTCCCAATTTAAAATTCAAATCTTACATGACCCACTATTGCCGTGCTAGTGGTGGCCGTATTATTTTCTACGGCTAAACGTTCTTCTACTTTTTGCTTTTGTTACATCAACGTAGTTTTGCACGAGCGCACTGTAGGACATTTTCATTAACGCTCGCGAAATTGCAATTTGTTTAGCAGGTGATTTGTGTCACGTTGATTTCCTGCCTTGTGATTTATTACACTGAAATTATTATGAACATTGGAAATGTAGGTTCGGGGGTATTAAACAATAATTAGCTATTGGGGTGATTAATATTTTTTTTTCATTAATGAAACGCTGTGACGCAAATGGTCACTAATTTAGTGCGTATTAAATTTTTAAATACGAAATATTCAAATTGTGGATGCTCTGAATCCCAGTATGAGTATTTAGTGTTCAATTAACATTATGTATGACTATGATCCGCAATCGGATATCAGATTTTTCGACGTTTTATTATACGCTTACTTCGTGCTCTTTCAGTTTCACCAGAATTTGCAATGTTTTATCCAAGTTAAACGAACTGTGTTTAGACTATTTATGACCGCTAGTATAACAGCGCAGTGTATCACGTAACCTGCAAAAAGGCAAAACTCGTTAATCAATCAACTTCTGTATGCGTTGATAATCAATTTTGAATATTTACAGTACATAGACGAAGGTAACCTTATCCTTCGAGGTGAGGCAAACGCATTTATGGTCAGTGGCTTTACGTTAGTGGCGATTTTCCACCTATAACATTGATTTTCCTTAACCGAATTTCCAAAGTTGGTGTCTCGACTTAAAATTATTAGTGCTTCCCGTCTCTAATGTTGTCTTATTGTTTCAGGCTGAACGTAACCCTACGGATGATATGGAGTGTTACGCTTAAGGTAAATTTTGTCTGTCCCAAGTTTGATTGTAGTTCGCAATCGCAATAAGAGAAACAAGATCCACGAAATTAACATTTATATAACGTAATCTGGCATATTTTCGACTGAAGTAACAAAATGAACTTTCAACATTTTATCTGTTTGATGGATCAAGCCTCTTTCGTTCAGTGCTATCCAACTAATGAAAATGTCAGAACGACGTGGTTTATTTTTAAAAACAGTATTCAAACAGCTATTCCTTTACGTATTTCCACAAATCATTTCTTGTATGTCAGATCACGTACAAGTCTCTACCTCTATTTTACGGTACATGTAAAACATACATTATTCTCTATCGTAACGTAAGTCTTTTTGACATATTCTTCTGTTTAAAGATTTTGTTTTATGTTTATTTGGTATTCGCCGAGATTAAATTTACGTATTGTATGACAATGATTTACTTCCTTTGCATTTAACGGATCTTAAGGCGAATTGATATTTTCCTCTTGGTAATACAAATATTGATTATAGTGTTTTCAGGATGAAAATTTGGGAAAATGTGCGATTTAGTTATATAAACCGATTTAATACTTATAATTTCAATCCTTACGGCTCGAACGTTGAAACATAGGAAGTATAAGAAGAACGAGTACTGAGCTGAATTCGAATTATGGGCGTTACAATAAGTTTTCGTTGCCACATTGTTTTATTTTCTTCCATTTATAATTTTTTCTTGCCAGTAACAAGAAAATTTATATTAGTAAATCCATAGAATAAAATAATACGCGTGACCCCTCTACGCATTTCCCATAATCTTGGATTTGGCGACAAAGACAAAGTAGTTTAGTTATTGTTTTGCATTTAAAATCCATCGTCTCAGGAAATGTCCTTGTTCCTCGCCAATTCTATCCACCTCCAGTAACACCCCCTATCAATATGAACTTATTGATAAAATCTTGATTTTACCCCCATAAATGTATTCAATGGTACTAACCTATCTTGAAACTATACTGCTGTGTGCAATGGCAACTCCACCACCCACAAAACACGTGTTCAGCTAGCTCAAGACCAATCAAAATTCAAACTTAGAATTTTTTATAACCTCTCCTCATACACATCCCGCATTAAGAAAAATCTCAATATTAACTTAAAATTATTTCTTAATTTGCGAGCCTCGATCAAGTTCCGAAAAGTTTTGATTGAACACTTGAAATAAATCTCGGTTATGAATAGAAAAAAATCTGACATGAAAACTCTATCTGGGTCGTACAGTGGATTCGAATCACGGCGTAAAGAAAATGCTTCTTACACTCTATAGCTTTATTCTACACACTTAGGACAGTTTCCCCTTCTCATTGTGCAAGATTATTCAACACCTTACGGTAAATGTGAATATAGTTTATCTATCTCACTTCCTTTCGAAAGAATTAACATATGCTTACTTCGGCGATAACACCCGCATATCTTGAAATTAATTAGCTTACGAGCGATAAGAAAACTTCTATCTACGACCGGAGAAACACATGAGAAACTTTAACAAATAATTCCTAACTGAATTAATCTAGTCTTTTAACGCTTGATTTAAATTTACAATTACCAAAACAAAATAAACCAAACAATAAATTATTTAAACAAAATCAAATATCAAATAATTAAATCATTCTGATACATCAACAATGCCCTCGAATTCAACTAATATGATCGAAATTGGGCTTAATCCCAAATTTAACGTTAACAATGATATTGTTCTTGTAAGTAATAAATAAATTGAAAACGTGTGCGTCAATGTATAGATTAACTTTTAACCAAAATACCAACCACTCCTAATTACAACTTCTCCGGCTACGTTCAAATTGAGAATGTAAGTATCAATTTCAATGACAATATTTAAGGGTTGGTATATGTACAGTAAATTTTAATAAAACACAATCATTATTGCGCGACCACCCTTAAATTGGGGTTGTATTTATTAGTAACTTCTCCCTAAGAAAATCCACAACGCTTTTGTTACTTCCATTAAAATTGCATGATAAATTTCGACTTGTAAACTCTCGTGGAAGTTTTTTTGTTTTTATTTAGTTTACCTTGGAAGATTCTTTTCTAGTGGTATTAAATAACATTTTTACTACCCCCAACTTAACTTCAAATCATGTTTGAGGCAATTTTTTTCATTTACTTCATTTCATATTTGTATACCTTCGTGCCAGTCTTTTTATTTTTAAATAATTATACTACTTTCTTCTTATTTCTCAACCACGCTTGATCTTGACTTTTTTTACGTCAACTCAGAATTAATTATGTTGCCGTGTGGGTTAAATTTCATCCCTTGAGATTTTAGAATGAATTTTGTTTGGTTTTTACGGCCGTTTAAATGAGGGCTCGACGATTTTTTCAGTCGACACAGCGTATTCGATTGTTTATATCCAAAAATGAAAACTTCTTTAATTAATTGTGCGGCCATAAACATAAAAATCTGTAATTGGCATTGAAATTCAAATTAATTAAGAGCGCTTTTTTTGAGACCATTCACGATTTAATCGGGTGCTGTTCTGCAACTCATTTAATTAGCTTCCGTTAATTATATTCACTGAAATGGGCGAAAAGCAATTTCTACATTCATACTTCCAATTAAACTAAACTAAAGGGATATTTTCAACTGATCCTGTTTATTTTTGTAGAAAATGTACCATACCATACCACACTATACAATGTCTAATGGAAAACAGAAGAGGAGCTGCGTCTAAGTGGAAGTGGCCGCACCAACGATTGTATCTATTTGCTCTTTAAGAGTGGCGCTCAAAAATCGGAATTACTTGTAAAAAGCTCTTAAATAGCTCGTAATTCCAGTATAAAATTTAATTAACAAAAAGTAATTCCAATCAGTGCCCTCCTGAATCCAAGTAGACTCGGCCACCCCATAATAAATTTTATATTCCTAGTGATTTAAACCAGCTCTGAAATTTTGTGTTTGCGACATGAAAAGCTCCTACAAACTCATAAATTGGATATAATTCATAAATTGATTTACAATAGTGGGGGGTCTGGGTCCAGCGCGATGCAAAAACGCCCTGTTGCATCAAATGGTTATCTCCGTATTTTCAAATTAACTTCAACAGCACTTGAGTATTTTGGGTTCAAGACACGCACGTATTCAGAATCATTTTCAACTGACTGTTTATCCGTAAAAGAATTTAAAACGTACCACACCATTTTAAAGTAGACTTTAATGCCGACACAGTTCGCTACGTTTTCCCATAATAGGCTGGAGACCACAGGATATACAATACACGTTTTTGCACAGATTTAAAATCCATTTTGTCACAGCGTCGCAGTATGACGAAAATACCAACAGTTTTGTAGTCTCTCATATGCTTTTATACGTAATAACGCCATGCAGTAATTGTCGAAAATTTGGTTGAACTTAAGTGCTTATTGTTACGATTCAATCATTCAATCCTTTTGTTTAACCTTTACATGAGATGCTCCTTCTTCTCCCACTGTGACAAAATACAAGTAGTCAGCAGGACATAACCTACAATATTGAACTAAGGAATCAGAAGGCTACAGAGGTGATAATAATGCTCAGATGACGTTTAATTATTAACCCTTTAGCAAAACTAATAACAATGTGCCATTGACTTTCTCAGGTTAATCAGATTGTTGAAATACCTATTCACAGGTGTATGAATAATAGAACATAAGCTGTAATTTTGAACGGAAATTCGTATAAACCGCACAATATCACAAGGGGAGTACCGCTCTATTGCGTACATAATTTATGCTGCTAATTATAATCGTTGCTTAGTTGTTCCATGGAATAATTTAAACTGCTCGCATATCAATATAGGTCGCTTATAAACTAAAAGAAAAAAAAATCCGTATGTAGGTGGTCGATCCTTTTAAGCGAAGGTTTTTCATAAGTACGGTTACGTGAACTGGATTTTTCCGCTTGAGTGCAGTAATTGGCTTTTCAAATTTTTGTTACACGCAGAAGAATATTAGGAAACGTATGTTTTTTTACGATACCTACCTACCGCAGAAATTAATCGTTGTCTGGAAAAGATTAACGACCATATAATTTCTTAAAATAAAATCAGCACGCACGTTTTAAAACTGTCGACGGGCATTATCATGGGAATTTAAAAAGGCCAAACGCACAATTGGTTAATGTTGCACCCAAATTGCGGATCGCAAGATAGAATGAACTTTATTATTCTAGAGAGGAAAGTAAAATGAACGAAACGCCGTAACCTTTAAACTAAGCTTAATTGAAAGTAGGTAGGTAGTTTTTTAGTGTTGAGTCAGGAACAAAAGTTTTGTGGGTTCTGTAGGGCGTAGCTATAAAGTGAAAATATGAATACAATTAAAAGAAAAGAGAGATGGACATGCTTTGTCGTAGCTACAGTTTCAACGAATCGCCGAAAATGTGTAGATCAATAGAAGAAGGTCCAGCAATTCGGGCGTGTGTAGTGCACGCATTGCGTATAATCGTTGACCAAAAAAAAGCAAATTCTGTAAAACAAAACAGATACATAACTTTCGCCCGTAAGATAAATCGTCTGGCTCGAATGATTTGTATTTGCAAATTTTGAACTCGAAATTAAATATTCAATGTGAAAAGTTTTATACGGAGATATAGAGATTAAATATATAGGAAAACTAGAAAATACGAGCATTGCGCTTTAGGAAATAATATAAAGACAATTCCTACAAAGTTCTTTCTATACAAGTTGCCCAAGTTATGTAATTGCATATTTCAGAAACGTAGTGGAGTTCTGCACAAAACAATGTCAAGTAATTCAGAAGAGTTCAAAGTTCAACGACGGTTTCCAGATGTCTATTGTACGGAAGTGAAAGAAGCCCGAAGTTAAAGGGGTGAAATTTAAATAGAATCGGCGTAGGACATGTGCCCAATTCTAATTCCATTCATTGCGGTGCAATTTCACCTTATACAATTATTATCACAATGATTTCTGCATAGTTGCATATCCGCTGAAATGAGATTAGGGACAATTGTTTAC